CCCCAAAACCCCAAAACCCCAAAACCCCAAAACCCCTCGAGTCATTTTTGGACTTGCAAACAAATCAGGTTTATTTTCTACTAAAACTGCATGTCATAATTTTGCATTTGTCCAAATATTTCCTTGTCATTTTCCTTTGTTTCGAAGTACTTGTCAAGAAGCTCATTACAGAATTTTTGAATATCACTATTTGTTTGGAACTTTTCAGAAATAATATTGATCTTTTCAATAACACCATTATCCTGGAAGACAGTGATGATATCACTGACTTCTTCACATGAAATGTCAATTATACTGAAAACAGCCATTACTGTTTCAGGTAAGATCTGGGGTGAGCAATCTAGAGATTCCAAGATGGCTCTCACGCTGAATTCATTGTTGAATATAGAAATGTTGCTTTTATCTATAAATTAGAACAATTGCTTACTTTGACTCATACAATAAAAGAGAGTTATTCAAGCCTCCTTCTGTACAATGAGATCTTTGTGTGAGAGATAACTAAAAGTAATCTTTTCAAGCATGTTGATATTTGTTACAAAATAGTCAACAACTGATGGATTATTCATCATTGAAGATATCGCCCAGAGGAGACTTCCTACAAGAGTAAATGATTCAGACTCAAAACAGAAGTTGATCATCTCTTCAAATTCCGGTAGTTTTATCAAATATTCTTCGAGTTTACATTCAGTATTATTCACTAAATTCCCTATGAAATCGAGTAATGGCTTAATAGTCGTAATGTGTTTGAGTTTCATACTATCTTTTAAGAGATTTCAGACTCTTTTATCTTCGACTATCAACTGAAGACATTCATCAGCAATTTTGATCCACCCATCATCGCCATCAGCTTCTTCTATCTTCCATTTCATGTTTGAGATTACTGAGAAAATTAAAATAACTTCTCGCCCAATGTTGATGTTCCCTTTAACTCCATAAATTAGATCTGAGATCAGGTCGCTTCTCAAGAAATCAGGGATTATAATTGGATCCAGAGAGATACTTATGTTAATAAACATACAAGTTATCACAGATAATGATTCTCTTTTAAATCTCACTAATTGTGAGATGTACCCAAGATTAGGGATGTTAGTCAGGACATCGTGAACAGTGTCATCGTCATCATAAAGGATAAACACGAAGCAAACCAAGATGAACTCAACAATGATTAAGTATTGGGCAAGATTCTTACCAAGAGTTGAAGGATCAACTATTTTTGAAACTAAGTCCGGGACAATAGTTTTTAAGTTAGATCTATCTTGCCCAGCTATCATGGAGAGATTTGCAAGACATCAAAGAGTTTCCTTCAGAATCTTCTCGTGGTACTCAAATCTTAAAAATGGCAATAGTATTTCAACCCCTTTGTTTTTGATAAAGACTTGAGCAATGCTGATCTCTTCGTCATCAAACATCTTATCAGATTCTTCTTGTAAAATTTTGCGCAATGAAATAATAGACTCCGCGCATTGTTCCTTTTTATCATTACAAACCTCATAGGTAACTTCTTTCTCGATCATGTTTTCCAAAATAGTGCTATCAGTCTTGAGTGTCTCAAGAAGTGAGGCAATCAGCTGTGCTTTCTTTTCATTACTCAAACCCTCAATACTTTCTTTCTTCTTATGCATTCCAAAGGCTGGAGGTGGGTTCAGAGACTCTTTGATTAACTTCATTCTATACCCCTGTTTCCACCCCCTATTCATATTCAGGATCTGTTTCCTTCTGAGTTTAATCTTTTGAAAGTTCTTCTCAGCCAGCCTGCTGAGGATCTCGGCATGGCTGGGCTGACAACTTGCTAGAATGTTCTTGCGATGAGGCTTATCCATTTATAAAATTTATTCAATTGTTCCAGGTTGAAGAGGGGTTTTGGGGTTTTGGGGTTTTGGGGTTTTGGGGTTTTGGGGTTTTGGGG